CCCCAAAACCCCAAAACCCCAAAACCACCACATGATCAAATTGCTGATTTGCTAGTATAGTTTTAAATCTTATAAACTTGTAGATAAATTTAATAAAAATGATGTAACCAGATTAACAATCAAAATCTCCCTAAAAATCAGAAAAGGAGACAAGCAACAAGCCTAGTGATATGTAATTAGATGAATATACCCTTGAACTGGCAAAACAAGTGTTGCTTGAATCAAGGGAGGTAAAATTAGATGAAGATGGCTATGATCCTATGGACCCATACGCCTAGCAGGCCAAACTGATAGATTAAAAAGAAAAAGCTAGCAAAGAGCTGAAGGAACGTGAAAAGAAAGCTTAAAAACTTAGGGATATGCAGAGATAAAAGTTTTAGGAATCGTAATTCAGTAGTAATGATGATGAAAAGGGAGAGTTCAAGAAGGTTTTTAGGGTAATTAAACTAAGTGTATGCGCAGCAGTAGCGTTATACTCCATTTTTCAGGCTTTAGCTAAGAATGAAGGTGATCTTATAGATAGAAACCTAGTCTCTGAGTTCTTTGGAATGAAAAACCTGATAGCCACATTGAAAGAATCATGGTTCTTGATTTTGATTGTATTTATGTACTACTTTGCCAGGAAATACAATGACAAGCTTGATAAGGAGGAGATGGAATACTTATAATAGTAGAAGAGGGAGTAAAGTGGGGAACTAGATGAAATACAGGAGCAGGCTGAGGATTAGGAAGAAGATGATACCAATGATGAAGATGGAGCATAATCAATGAATAAAGATAGCAATACTAATGAAGATGAATTAGACAATCGATAGTAGGTTAAAGGAGATCATATTGGCATGAATACAAAGAAAAACTAATGAAGTTGATTATTCAAATGTTAAGTACTATTCTCAAAGATATGAACTAGGAGGAATAGTATTTAAGTTACTTTATTGTAGTTATATTTATTAGCTAATCAATTAAATCAATCACGTTAATAAGATTAATAAGAATATTAAGCAAATCAAAATGCTATCACAAATTAAGTAACAGGGGTTTTGGGGTTTTGGGG